ATGCCTTCCCTGAGTACCTCTCAGAAACAGAACTCTTGTCAGGGAGCCCTCCTTTGCTTTCCCTTTCCCTTATTCTTTCTCATTTTTCCCCTTTCCTTTTCCATTTTCCTTACCCTTCCTCTTTTTCCTTTTCTTTTGAAATGGGTCTTGCTAAGTTGCCTAGGGTGGTCTTGAACTAATGGTCTTCCTGCCTCAGCCTCTCAGGTAGCTGAGACTACAGATGTGTGTTACAGTGCCCAGCTGAAGACTTAGTTCTTTAAGTACCACTTGAACATGCCAAGCCTGTTTAGCAGACTCTTTAACAAAGAGGTGATGTGAGTCTAATGAGGTGACTGCTCTGGAACCTATTCTGAAAAGAAAAAAACACACATCAATAAATGGAGCCCTGTGAGATTTCTCCCAAACTGTGCCTATTTCTTTTTAAAATCCTATTACCTTAAACTGCATGATATGAGGTAACAGAAATGGTGTTCCAGTGTATTTTTCTTCTTGTTTTATTGTTAGAGTGCAGGTATTTTTCTTATTTGGAAAATTAACTTTCAAAGGAAAAAATTAATTTCTACAAATATGTATGTTGCTCTTCTATAAGAAATATATATAATATATATTTTTTTTGTACCAGGGATCGAACTCAGGACCTTGCACTTGCAAGGCAGGTGCAGTGCCACTGAGCTAAATCCCCGGCCCTTCTATAAGAAATATTTTAAGTGAAGAAAAGTTCCCTGATTTCACAAGAAGTCTTTGACAGGATCAAGGGGCAGCAGTGGGGAATGAGAAACCACAGGTCTGCAGGTCAGCAGACTGGGTTCTGGGCTGAATCCCCCACCCCCACCTCAAGGAAGAGCGGGGGAACCATGGTGACTACCAGTCTATATTGCTTGGCCCTTGGACCCTTAGTTTCCCTGTTCTGCCTAGTGCTAAGTTTCTAAGATAACACACTTCCGTATCCTTTCAGCACTGACCTCCATGCTAACCATCTGTCACTGGGCAGAACTGGAGAAAGAGATATGGCTGAGGATGAGCTAAAGGTGGGTCAACCCACATTCATGCCATTGAAGGCAAGGACCATTCAGGGACTGTTGTTTTCTCTGCCCGTAATCCACTCTTTTTCTCTATTAGATAAATGAGCCTCTTCTGTTCTCAATCTGAAGCTGATTCACCTCAAGCTCCAAGGTAGTCATGAAGCCAGGCTTGAGCCAACCAGAAGCTCGCTACAATGAGTGGTTTGAGGTTGGGCACTAGACACAATATTGCCAATGAGAGGCTATGGATCTTAGGTGAATCTGCTGGAATGAAAAAGCATGTTCTTCTTCTAGGGTTAGGAGCCCACAGCCACTGGCAGCCATTTTATCAGTGGAGAGCAAACTTACCTAAGAATGTTGCCAGAGGAAGGAGACCCGAGTCATGGCTCCAAGACTGGATTATGGTCACACTATTTGAGCTCTTGAGACTAGTGCTAATTTTGGACTTTGATATAAGTCAGTAAATTTCTATTTTGCACAAGTAGGCTTCTGTGATTTGCCATGGAAAGAGTCCTGACAGATACTTCCATAATGATATGACAAAATAACTCCTTCTTGATCCTTACATCTCTGAAGTGTACATATGGCTTTGGTTTAGATTAGAAAGCAGAATTAAAGAGTGTTTGCATAGAGTTAGTTCACTTTCCTGCTCAGCATAGGAAACTCCTGAGGGAGCATGCATCCAACTCTGATTTTTGTTACGTCACTGGTTACATACTGACGTAAGAGAGAGTTACTTTTGCCTGTGAAAGAGTCTGTTCAACTGTTTTGAGTTAGTGAATTATTGAAAAAATTCTCTTATATTGAACCCAAATCTCTAACTGAAATGGATGTCAGCCCTTTGCTTCTGGAGCAATACAGACAGAGGCTGTCTGGAAAGACCCAGAGCTGGCTGCCATGCCTGGGCCCTCACAACCAGCCCTTGCTCTGAGGCACAGGAGCCACCTTCCGCTGTGACTCAGCTTCTACCTGAAATGCATGAGGCGTCGCTGCACAGAGAGGTTCCGTCTGTGTCACTGGTCTCTTTTGCCTTTTGGATGCCTTCTGTCTCTGAGCTTGATTAGTTAGGTTTAATGATGTTTAATAACATTTTTCCTGTTTCTGGCTCTTTGTTTAATATCCCCAGTGCAATTATCACAGGTTCTACCTTTACTTCTTTGGGCCTGACTTTGTCAGTAATTTACCAGGTTTATTTAGTGCTATGTTCCCTTCTCATTCGACTACTGCCGGAATAATCTCTGTGCACTGCAGTGCAGATGCTACCCTACTCTAAGCCCCCAAATATTTTTCTAGCGCCTACCAAATTAACCCTGCCATCCAAAGGACCTTACACTCGCCCTTCTCCCTTGGAGTGAGTAATCTCACTTCCCACCGTACCCTCCTCACTCCAGGAAGAGCCTCTGCCCACTCCGGACCTGTTCGTCATTGTCCTGTAGACATGTCTTGTCCACTCTTGTCCCTCAACCTTTGTAGTCTTCATTCCTCCTCTTCTCCAGTCTGGTCTTTAAAACCGAACTGAAATTCTTCTTGCTTTACTAGTCAAGAACTACCCACTGGGTCGGGGATGTAGCTCAGCGGCACAGCACCTGCCTGGCAAGCACAAGGTCCTGAGTTCCATCCCCAGTACAAAAAAAAAAAAAAAAAAGAACGACCCACTGCCAATTCTACTTGGTTGACATCTAGTTACACACAAGCACATTGTAATTTCAGAAGCAATAGACTTTCACCATTTTATTGCGACTGACCTCATGTAACTGCTGACCTCAGAGTAGGGAGAGAAAATAAAGTTCACCCTGAATGCCCCGTTGTAAATGGTTGGGAAGAGTTGGGTTAAAAAGACTTCCCCAAAGAGAGACCTGAACAGTTAAATATATTCTCCACCGATGGGGAAAAACATGGTAACTGCCTGCCATACACATGCCAACCCTAATTCAGAGTCAAGAGTAGAGCTCTCCCTGACTCAATCTATCTGAAACCTACTGTCCTTCAAAGCCCCATTTCAGTGCCCTCTACCCTGAAGTCTGTCCCGTAGCCCCAGTGCTACTCCTTTTTAATTCAGTGTTTATGTCTGTACCTCTCCCAGTGCTGACCATATGCTGTGACTGTTGTCTGCTGTTGATTATTGAACATTTCTTTTGTGTATGTCTGGAGAGGAAAGAATCCCATTAACATGGGATTAAGTGGGACTTGAAGATGCATTTCTTCTCCACCTTCCCTCTGCTTTTCCTGGCGCCCCCTCCCTGGGATGGCCTTACTAATTCCTGGACAGAGACAGGCTAAGCTTGTCCTTGGAACACTTGGGTCCTGCTCAGGGACAGGAGGATGCTTCTGGAGAAGCTTTCACAACTAGGAGTCCTCAGGGAAGTGAGTGTGTTAGCTGTAATGGGAGGAGTTTCTACTGGGAAACTGTGTGGGTAGAAAAGAGTATTTCAGGGTTCATTTTATGGCAAATTGCTCTGCTTTTTTTCTGTCACAAAGTCCAAATCTTGTCCAAGTGTTGGAACAACAACAACTCTCTGAGGAGTGGGCATCGATCCGTCCAGCCTCAGGCATGAACATTATAGTAACTTTCTTAGGCATGCTTGGTCTGGCCATGAATATGTAATACAATTTTGGCCAATAAGCTGCAAGGGGAAATGTGTTTTTCAGGAAGTTCTGGAAAAAGGTTCTATTCTTTCCTACAAAGGGCCATATGAAATGATACTTCTTTTTTCTCCTTTGGATGTTGCTGCATGAGGATGCGCATGTATAAGGATTCACCAGGCCACTTTTGAATGAGGTGGGAAATATCTGAGGTCCTGCTGAGAATGGCAGAGAAGAGACAGTGGAGGAATCTGGGTCCTTGATGACTTCGTTGAATCCTGTGCTAAGTCTGGAAATTCCCCATCTGCAGATTTTCATCAATTTTGAGTTTTCTTTTAAAAACTATTTTAACAATTTGGGAATGAGGATTCATATTTTATGGCATATCATATCACAATTAAATTGGCAGAATGCTTTCTTAATGTAACCTAAATGGGTGTGTTTTTTTTTTTTACAAAAGATTGCATCTAAGGTTTCATGAAATGTGGAATGTTCTTATTGCTATCTATCTTTAGGAGGTTTCCTGCTACTTCCCTCTAAAGTATCCGGATGCAGCTGTTGTCCTCATGGGAAGACATTGTGTGGAAAGGGTGTTGGGAAGGGGAGGTGACCCGGGGCTGAGCTGGCCCCGTGTGAGGACGACAGTTCTCAGTGGGGCCGGAGTCTGTCCTAGGGCAGAGATTCCACTCTTCCTGGGATCTGGAGCCAGTGACATGTGTAAGCTCCCTCTTCCTCCCCAGACATGGAGATCATCACAAGCAAGTGATGGTCACTCTATGGCCAGAGCAGTTCCACAGCCAGGCGGGCAGGGGCACTGCCCACACTGACAATGGTCTTGGGCTTTGGGAAATCTAGAGTCCAGGTCCACTCAGCTGGAAAAGGCCACAGGAGAGGTCCGGAAGTAGGCAGGGGTACCTAGACCAGGATGACAATGCTGCCTCCCACCAGCACCTCTTCTCCAGGGGCAGCCTTCCCGTCCCTTCCCGTTAGTCCCCTCTCTCTGGGCCTTCTGTTCTCTTCTCTCCTCCCCTGCTCTCTGCAGTCACTAGTCCTAGAGGGACTGAGTTAAGCATCTCCAAACCTTGAGTCATCTCTCTTAATTTTAAGTTACATCTCCTCCCCCACAAAACAAAATCCTGACCTGGCAGGGCCCTGTGTACCCTGGATAGACTAGTGAATGACAGATTTATGTGTACTCACTTGACTCAGAGTGTAAAGTTTTCTCATTCTCTCTTTTTTTTTGAGACAGGGTCTCAGGGCTCAGGTGCTGCTCTTTCTGCCTCTTTCCCTGCCCCTTATTCCTCCTCCAGCCATCAAAGTCCAAGCTCCGTTTTTGCTCTGAGCCTATGGGCAGCCCAATTTAAGCCAAAGCCAAGCGAAGCTGAAGTCACTCACCCACGTAGAAGTACTCCGGCGACTTGTCCTCTGATGATAAATCCTTCATGCTGCCTCCGAACCGAAACCATAGTCCAAACACAATGACAGCTGACCCGGCCAGCTGCAAGGTAAACCATACTACATTCACAAGGGGAAGGAAAGAATCCACACACCTGTGCAGGTGCAGGCACGGCACGCTCAGGCTGGGACGGGCTGCTCCTGTGGAAATCACCTAGTCCAGAGATGGCGAATGTTTTAGAGCTTTCAATGATAACAAACAGCCCACTGTGACACGAGTGCCACAGGTTTACCACCAGTAACCTCATCTGTCTTGACCTACAGGGGAGGAAACGGAGGTCAGAGAGGCGGGGGAGTGTTCTTGAGGCTCTGCAGGGCCCTGTGTGAGATCCACATTGGGCTTTGGGTTGCCCATGCTGCCAGGCTGCCCTGCAGTTCTAGAGCACACACAGCCTGGTCCTGGGGCATCTCAAAAACACTGTTCCAACAGTGTTCCCGTGGCAGGCAACTGCCCCCTCCCTGTTGTTCCTTTCTGGGCAAACTGGACCTCTAGGCAACCGGCTTTTGGGCACCAGGTTTCCAAGGCCAAGACGAACTCCAAGACCCTGGGGAAGCAGCTTCCCTAAGTTAGAAAAATCTGCCAACCTCCAAACCCACCCGCACCTCACGGTACAAGGTCTCCAATTAAAATGTTATTGCAGTGGCTTCTGCAACCCTGTCACCCTGCATCCCACATGGTGGTCATTGCCTGGGCATAGTTTTGCAGGGAGGGAGGCTGCCCCACCCCCCCTTTTTTGGTTGCTGTTTTGAGTTTCCGTGGAAAGCAAGAAAGGAAAAAATAAGTTTCTGAAAAAGCCTGGTCTATGTGCTGTGTGGCTCGTGGAGAGGCTGAATGCCTGGCGCAGGCAGTGCTGGGCAGGCTGGCAGCTGGTAGAGTCATCACCAGCTCCTTCTCCTCTGCTCCTAAGCCTGCTGTGGGACTCAGCGTCGATGCTGGGAGACTTTCTGCCATCGCAGGTCTGTCACAATTGTTCTCCAGCAGGCTCTGGCCACAGTGTTCTCTTTCCACAAACACTACTCTCAAAGTTCACCATATCAGTCCACCAACAGATATTTACTGGGCTCCTTCTGGGTGCCAGGCATGATGGGAAAATAAGCAGAGAAGTAAAAATAGCTTCCTGCTTCTGGCACCCGCCCCCCCAAGTTACTTTCCCAACCCAACGCCAGAGGAGCACTGTAGAGTCTGCCCCTGCCTGAACAGGAAAGAGCACACATAGATGCTGGCAACAGGAAGGCAGGATGGAAATGGGAGAAGCAGAGGTTTAATAAGAAAAAATCCAAGTCAGGGTTAAGCGGGAGTTCTTCTGGCATGGGCTCATTTTTCCCTGTGGGGCAGCTTATAAAGGACATAGTGCCAGCCTGCAGGGTTATCTGGCTATGTTTCTAGGAGGACTTTATCCTCCTTCACCTCTGTCTCCCAAGGCCAACTTCCTCTGAGACTGGCTGACACAACTCAGAAATGCTGTGCAACTTCTTCAGTCAGGAGGAGTTAGAGGGGCAGAGCTCTACCAGCTGGACTCTCCGCTTGGAAAAACTAACAATTTCCAGCCCTCAGAGGAAAGCACTAATTGGATAATGTGAAGGGCAGCTACAGGAACTGGGCTCAACCAGCTTTTGAAAGACTTCCACATTTTAAAAAAGGGTACCATGGAATGGAAAGGAAGTCATGCTAAAACATTAACAATATTCACCTTTGAAGGGTGGAATTACTAATGACTTTTTTTCCTTCTCACTGTATTTTCTAAATTTTCTGAATTAAGTACATATTACTCTTTCAACCTTAGAACAGTTTTTTAAAAAGTGTTACACGGTAGCTTCTATGTTCAGTTGGGACTAACTGGGGAGTCTTCATGGGTTGTGCTTTAGCTTGGGAGGAAACCAGCTCTGGGGTCCTCGCTGCTGCTGTGGTAGCCCTTGGTCAAAGGCCATCCCTTGAAGCATGGGGGGCTGCCTGAGACAAGTCTGTCCAGCAGAGCTGCATAGGCAACTCTGCAGCCCTCATCTCCATGGTGACTCGATGGAAAGGCGGAGTTTCCAAATACAGAGCAAAATCTATTGACAGAGGCACCAGGCCAAAGCCAGCAGCCACCAAGCCGACTGTGGAGGAGGTGACTAGTCCCAGGGACACCCTACCATGAGGCCACATTTTTTGGAATCTCTGTACACAAATTCTAATTTATAGCTGTCTGGTGTCTTCCTTCCAGACGGAATACATTTGTCCACTTCTGGCACAGATGTGTTTGATGCATAATGGAAAATTAAAAGAGAGGTTGCCATTTAAAGCTATCAGGCAACCAGGAAAAAATCTGCACTCGCTCAGCCGCACCCCCAATCCCAAACCACAAGGGTTTCCTCCTGGGTCTAGGAAACTGTGGCTCAGCTGAATGTCATCATTGTGTGGAAGGGAATCCTCCCAGCATGCTGCTGGCTGCGCCAGGCCTGTTGGGTGAGGACCTGGGCTGCTGTGATGAGAAGCAGAGTGGTTGGTCCCTTTTGCCCTCACCCATCCTGTAAGGCTCATGAAATGCTGTGTCCCTTGGACTTCGGCTGGTCTACCACACACTAGACATTGCTCGAAGAAGAGTCACACCAATTCCATTCCAGTCAGGAAAAAAATTGAGTAATTCTAGTGTCACTAAGTTCTCACTACTCTCTGCATTCCACATAGCCAGAGGGAAGCCTTCAAGCCTTGCTGATCCTAAATTTCAACCAGACTAGGCCAAAGCTCCTTATCCCCTAATTATCTCCTACAATCTCAGTCCTTCTATGCATACAAATGCATGTACACCTCAGCCAAGGTTAAAACAAACAGGAATGAGAGGCTGCCCAGTTTTTCCCTTTCTTTCTCTGGTCCCCATGCTCATCTCCTTTCATTTCCTTCCTGTCTTTCTTCCCTACATGCTTATTAAAAATTAATTATGATCCAGGCTGGGTACTATGCTTGGAAACATCAAGAGAACAATTATGAAACAGGCAAAGCTCCCAGTCTAATATAGAAGATAATTTTATAATATAAGAACTGCAATATAAAGCAGGAAGTATGCTGAAGAGGAAGAGTGTGCACACTGCCAAGGGATCCAGCAAAGTTTTACTGCCATTGTGTAGCAGTCATGAAGAGGTGAACTGGAGGGAGGGGAAGGTCCACTCAGAGGACCTTGCACAGGGAAGAGCTTTACTTCCTCACCTAGATGTTGTGTTGGGGAAAGAGACCAGTCTGGGGAGGTCAATCTGGGCTTGAGGGAGAGTTGGGGCAGCTGTGATCCAGCTTGCTGCCATCTTGGGAAGCTCACAGCAAGGCCTTATGGGAGGGAAATGAGAACCCTCTTATTAATGGGAACAATCAGGAGCAAAATGTTGCCTGGGTGCCTGACACAGTAAGGAGCCAAAGATAACAGCCTAAGTTGACCAAGGACCAGAGAGAACACTAGGGAGTGGACCTGTGGGGTGCATGAGAACCAGTGAGAACTGTGGTGCCAACTAAGAAACTCTGCTGAGGGCTGCCTTACTTCTAAGACCAGTACCACTCCCTGTGCTTCCGGAAAAATTACAACCAGATAGACTGTCCTTTTTGCCAGATGGAATTTTTTCAGACAGCAGCATAAATAGGGCCTTGATGTTAATCATTAAAAAAAAATTTATTGAGCATGCATCATGAGCCAGGAGCAAAGGACTCAGAGATGAGGAAGAACCAGAGGTTCTCTGGGGCTCATGGAGAAGCCACAGAGTGGCCTATGAGGGAACCTAGTGCTGCAGGATTCAATCCCAGCCCCAGCCCACTAGAATTTGACAGAGAGGACACCAAATAATGCCACTCCTGTGGGCATGAGTCCTTTGCTGAGGACCAGTCATGCACAAGGCACTCAGAAAATATGATGAAACAGGGTTTTCAGGGCAAAAGTATGTCTACAATTTTAAAAGGGGGGGGGGAGAGGAAGAGAGAAAGGAGGGAACAAAGGAGGAGGAAGAGGAGGAGAAGGAGAAGAAGAATGTTGTAAAAGGAATAGTAACATATAAATTTGTGTCATTAGATAGGGGATCCCTAGATTTTCAGGAGCAAGCGATTTCAGTCGCTAACCATATTCCAGAGAGTTTGCAGGATAAAATACTGCAAATTGTAAGCATATGTCTTTAGAAAAGAAAGTTTGTGGTCTAAAACTAAAGAAGCAGATGGAAAGAACAAAGGCTTGATTTAAAGCAAAGTGGATGGGCAAAAAGTTTCCTTTCCGTAGCAACTATCTGCCAAAATCAAGTCATTTAGCATGAAGCAAAACTCATTTATAGATTTCAATTTCATTTTACTGCATTTATTTCTACCTTCCTGGGTTGCTGATGAGATGTCCTATCTTGAGGATGTATTGTTTCCACTTTAAAAAAGAGGTTTTATGAATTGTAGACACAGTCCCTGGGAAGGCACTAGTGGAGCTAGCGGGGTAATGCAGAGATGCAGCCCGCCTGCAGCCCTCCTCGCCACATGCTGGCCACTGGGATCACAGAGGGTCAGGCATGTTACTCTGCCATCTACGAAACCCAGCAGAGAGCCTCCTCTCTGGGTCAAAAGCATCCCCAGGGAAGGTTCTAGACAGTCTCTGTTTATATATCTAAGTGGGAGACAAAGGACCTCCAGGACCCCGGAGCAGTTTCAGTTCCTTCTCCCACTGAGAGGCTGCTGCTCTTGCTGCTCTCTGGGCCTGGGCGCTCCCCATCCTCCACCAGACTGACACCTGCTCTAAGGTTACTTCCTTGGGGAAGATTACTCTGTACTAGATATGTGCTTGCCTTCATAGCTCACATAACCATCTCTGCTTGAGTATTTCTGTGGTCACCCCTCAGGCTGAGCTCTGTGAGAGCTAGGACAGGGTCTGTGTTGCTGTCTTCTAAATACCTTCCTCTCTGCCTTCTGGACATTTGTGAAAAGAAGGAAGGGAAGATCTACATAAAAGTATCACTTAGGCTATGCTATTGCCAGAATTATGCCCCCCCCCAACCCCAAACTCACATGGTGAAATCCTACCTCCCAGTGACATGGTATTAGGTGACAGGGCC